CAAACAAACAATAAAGCACTCTTGTCTCTCCATTGTACAATTCTGTGTAACTTTTTATACAAACATTCTATCTGCTTTCCTAGTTTCACAAGAGGCTGACTTGCATTTAGTAATACTTGTCCACTTCTAATGGCTATGCAGTCTTAACACATTACACTCAAAAATAATGATTTTTTTTTTTTAGACTTATGATGCAGACATAGAGGCTTTGCCACAGACCAATCTGTTAACACATTTCTTCTACAGTACACAATGGCATCACATAACTTGGGTTCTGACTCTAGGAGTGATTTTCCTTTCAAGAAATCCTCCAGAAGCCCTTACCACCAGGGAACCCAGGAGCAGTGGCTGGTTTTGGTATACCCATGAAGACAAACACTAGCTATCAGTGGAACTGCACTCGTGAGAACTATGACAAGAGATTTCAAAAATGAGAATATGCATTTAAGTTTTGGGAACATCTAGAGACCGGAGTCTCTGGCTGGGCTTACACGGTGATGAACAAACACAGGAACAAAACAGCCCCTGTCCCAAAGCAGCCTGCAGCCCAGAGACTGAATTCGGACCCCACTGAATTATCCATATTAAAATCACCATAGAAGACAAAAAATAAGCAGCACTTGACAGCAGAACTGGCTAGAGTTAACTGAAAAACATGCACATTTCATCTACAGTGACTGTGTGTACCTGTTTCTTTTCACTACTAACCTGAGTGATAGCAACATGTCTCTGCTCTAATCAGCATCATCATGAGCAAAGCCATCCCAAGCCTTGCCTTCACCCATGACTGAAAAAATAGGTCAGAGAAATAGCATTATAATCTCATTTAACTGCTATTCAAATCACCGGTCTTGCCATTAATTTGAATGAGAACTGGACTGGGCCCAAATTACTGACAACAAAATGGGAGGTTTATTTTAATATCTTCACCATTTCATTTAAAATCTTCCATTCGCAGAACAGAAAATAAGATCTCCCACATACCTTTGGGTAGCTACAGTGAGACTTACATTTTTATGTAAACAAGTTCAAAATAGACTGTCTGCACTGCAGCTGGAAATTAGAGCCCCAACCTGACATAAGGCTGCTCCCTCCTTACAGTTGATGGGTGCCATAAAGCAGAGGAACAGCTCAAGGGTAAGAGAGTGCATCACCCATGTGTTTGAGTAGAAGACCTTCAGGATGTGCTTCTCGGAGTACAGTGGAAAGTCAGCAGTTTCAAAGCATTTCACCCAGCTGGAAACCTCAAAGACCAAAGTAAGAAGAGAAAGACTACCTGGAGTTAACTTGCCAAACATCACAGCTCATAACAGAAATTTTACGTCTTTGATGAAAGCAAAAATAACGTCATATTTTGTAAAAAAAAAAAAAAAAAAGAAAAAAAATCTGCCAAGGGTGCTTGTTTTGGCAAATAATGAATGCCTAAAGAAATATTGTTTGTATTGTGCAATGAACTTGTAATTAATGTTTGTTTGCTCACCATTTAATAGCAGTTCTGCACTAAGTGATGAGATTTTGCTGCCATTTGTGAATGTGCAGATTTTGAAACTTCATTCCCCATATGGAAGAGCTCCCAGGGGGTCATATCATAAACCCATTCAAATGAACAAAACAAATGACAAGTATCTCTACAATGTGGAAAATGAGAAAACTGTATGTATTATTTTATGTAAGCATTGTTAAGTGCCTCAGTTTACTTGTGTGGTATTTTTCTGCTTGATTGCATAGAGGTAAATCAAAAGAGGCTGCCTAGATGAGGCAAATGAAAGCATCAGAAATATAAAACTCCTTTAGAAGTGATGAGAGGCTCTTAAATGGAGGAGTCCCCTGTTTCTTTCCAGTCAGCCTGGCAATGTTTATGCCTCTCCTGCCTACATCTAAATCTAAGGGGAATCTGAAATCCCAAAGAAATTATGAGACTGGCCAAAAGGAGAAATGTCAGGTAGCAATTGGTGTGCTGTCAAGAATGCAGACACTGACCTGGATTAATCCCACTTACCTACACGTACCTGAAACAGAAGTGCAATCTGTCTGACTAAGAGGAAAGACTCTTCCTGAGGGCAACTCAGAGAGAAGTAGGCTCCTAACATGGCAGGGACCCCGAAAGGGATCCATCCAGGCCTTCCACCTCTCCATAAACAAGAAGAAAGACAGCAGCACAGAGGCAAGATTCAGCCAGTTTAGGTGATTGCTACTGTGCCTGCCACTGCACTTGCCCAAACTACATCTAGACTTAGCTGACTGAGTAACTGGGCAGGCGTGCAGGTGGGCTTATTGAAGCCCTTGCTGCAATAGTTTCATTGCTATACACAATTCACTGTTAAAGCTAGACTTTGCAGAGACAGACGTCAGGGAAGGTGGAACACCCTGCAGAACAAGATTCAGCTAAAGCTCACATGCACGAGTACAGACGCCGTACTGCTTTAATACTTTGTGTGAAATATTACAGACTTCTTGGTAGAGGAGTGATGAATACTGTTCTGTTTTGTAAAAGCTGTCCCTTTAATTTGCTGCTACACAGGCACCCCAAGTAAAGGTTTTAGCAGATGCCAGACTCAGTTGGACCCTGCCTGTCCGTATGCCTGGGAGACAGTGGCAAAGTTGCCACTCAGGAATTCAGTGTCAGAGTGGTGGGACTGTGCCACTAACTCAGCGCAAGGTACAGGAGCCATGCCTGTCACGGCCAAAAGCAGGTTAGTACCCAGTCTGCTCTGTAACCAAGTCTGATGCATAATAGCTGAGAGGACATGGACTGCGATAGAATTTAATTATGCACATTTTTCAGGTCCTACTGGAATATACTATCTGCCCCTTAATTTCCAAAATAATTTTTAATTTGGCCCTTGTTTTCTCAGACCTATGTGGGAGAAGAGGGAAGAGATGTTCTTTACTATTGTATCTCCATGGTACTACATGGCCTTGCGTCCTGGCAGTTTTATATTTCCATCTGAAGTCTCCTGTTCTCCTGGACCACAGGCTCCTATCAACCCTCAAAATTTGCCAGAGATGACTATGCACTTACGTACTGTTATTACAAAGGAGAGCTTTCACAGTGATACAGTGCTGCAGCTCACTTACGGTGGCCACCCAGATCACTGGCATCCAAGTGTATCTGGGGAATGACAGCTTTACATCACTCTGATTTATGGCTATATTAAATATATTTTGAAGGTATTTGGCTATTTAATTAGAAACCAAACTTTCCACTTGTAGGTGAAAACCTGATCTCTCTTAAGACATCAAGCAGAAAGCTTTGATGGGTGGAGGGAATTCCCCACTAGGAAATAATAAGGAAATCTTAAGCTTCTCTGTAAGCTTTGAGTGGGAGAGGAACATATAGACCATGATGAACTGCAAAGGAGGACACAGCTTGTAAATGGGACATGCTGTTGCTGAAGAAGGAGGTATTGGCCTGTGAAAAAGCAGGAAAAAACCCAAAACATAAGATGTACCTCTGATAATACACACAGCTGCCAACTTAATTTTTAGTTTTGACAGAAATGAGATTGCTATGTGGTTATTTCCCATGCTATCTATATGAAATAGAAACATTAGTGAATTACGGCTTAGGGCTGCTGAGGAAGGGTTGGTGTTTCATTATTATTAAGTATGATTGCATAAACAGGTCTGAAATTGAAGGCTGTGCTAGGAAAAGTGAAACAAAGCAAAACGCAAACAAAAATATTGCCATAAGCTAAACAGCAAGACAGAAAGGATATTTTCTTTTCAAAAAGTTGAGAAAATAAGCTTCCTCCACTTTTTCCAAATCTTCAAAATTGAATCTAGCACTGAATGACATTTTTTCTACTTAACAAAAGTATAGAACATTGATGCTTCCTTAAGTGCAGCATTTGCAATGCCATCATCATTGCTGAAACATAACCTTAATGATAATTTAAGCTCCTGTTACAGGTCTTTCAGCTGCTCTTGAACCTCAGCTATTTTCAGGAGCAATCTGCTCATTTTTGACACCCCAAAATGGCAGAAATCAATGTGTTATTACGCTGTAAGAACAACTGAAAAGCAAAGTCTTGAACTTGATAAGAAAACTATAACCTTCCTTTATGTTCACAACTTTGCCTTCCACAAAATGTAATTTAAAGAGAGAATTTAAGAACTTTATCTTGGAAATACTCCTTCCTCCAGGCAGATTTAGCTCACAGATCTTCTTCTAGATTCTGCCACTAAGAAAATATTAGGAAATAAAAATAAAGGAACAATAGGAAGACCCAACATTGACTTCAATGCTAGATAAGTGTTCACATATGAGAAATAGATCTCTAAGGGCCACACGGGAGAAATATATTTTTACTTAATAATCATGAATCCAAAAAGCAAACCATAGAACTGCAGCAAAACACTTGTTGAAAATTACATCCAAAAATTTTGAGAAAGAAGGTTGAAATGGGGAATAAAGTGTATGGTTAGGGAAACAGTGATGGCTATTCAGAAGAGAAAACACAGTTTGAAAAAATTTTTAAAAATCTGTGAATGTAACTCTCCTTTCATTCCAGCCAACCTTGCCTCAGTCTGGCACCTGGGTTAGTTGAGCCAAAACTTTATACTGGGATAGACAGGGATAAGGCAATTAAGTTAGTAAAAGAATGTGTGAGGCTAAACCTTGAACAGAAAGGTTAATACTTCCACCACTTTTTTTAATTACAGAATTGCAGATTTTCACTTCTGTGATTTGTGATTCATCTTTTAAAGCACAAATTTACATTTCACCGTATGTACTTTGTTCTTCCACAGTGAATCTATAAGATTTTTTATAGCTTTTCATTGTGCTAACAGTATGGTCCCAGAAGAAAACTGATTTATCTTTTTTTTTTTTTCCCACAAATTGGAGAAAATCACAACTCTGCTGTTCAACTCACTGAAGGTGAGTCTTTATTCAGCAAAATTAGTGTGCTGACCTACCCAGACCTGGGCACCAGAGAGGAACAGAGTAGAAAACATATAAAATGATACAAAACCCTCTTTGGAAGTGTATTTTGTACCTGAGGTAGCACTGCTGGTCCTTGTCCTGCCAACCTCTGCAAGGAGCTGACCTGAGGAACCTTAATGGGCACTGCAGTGATAGTTCCCAAAGTCTGTTGGAAGAAAAACAGTTGAACACAGCTTAAAACACTTGCACAGCTTCCCCAGATACAATCTGCCTGACCCAGTGGCTCCCCTTACAGCTCTTTGTTTGTCTCTTCCCGACTCGTGATGGAAAGGTATAATACAACAGTCCATGTGAAGCACTCTCTCCTGCCTAAAGAGTCAGAGACTCTTTCTTCTCTTTAACCTTCTCTACAAAGCACTGTTAACTAAAGCCTGTTGTCTCCTTAGAGCATTTGGTAATTCCGAGTGCAAAAGATACATCTCATTGTTGTGAAATTTTTTTGGTACACAAAAAAAATACAAGTGCACTGCCATGGCTGAAGGCTGTCTAGGCACTAGCTTGTTTTCAAGAGATCTGAAGAAAGGTGAAACGCACCACAGTGAAACTTCAAAATGTGCATTGGTAAGATGATGCATTTCATGGTAGCCAGGGTCGCAAGAAAGTTCACTGTGTCTTAGTAAATAGTAAATACTGAATTATTAAAACTGAAAGCTACCTATAAATCTACTACAGCACACTGTAACACAACATTCAGCTAAGATAACATCCATTTGGGCCAACACAGCAGCTATTACTATTGACATTTATTTTCTCTACTCACCCTTCTCTTAGTTGTATAACAATTTTATTCAAAGCTTATTTAGAGTATTTGAGGTAGCTCCTTCTGTGAGCAAATATATAGATGTATTCTACATAAAGTTGACTTTGTAGATAGAGAAACTATATGTGTTAACCCAGTATTATCTTTAACTCTTATGAATAGTTAGATACCAAGAGTAAGCAAAATATGTTTTTGTAATACAGTCAAGTACATACAAGCTTCACCCCCCCCAAAAAAATCTGTGTCCTTTTCTGACTTTCATCTATCTGTGGTGATACAGATATCTATAGATGTATATTTATGAGTTCTGTTATAGATTATTTGAATGGGACCTCTTTTTCAAGCCTTACCCACAGAGGCTCCTAAAATACTGGATCTGAGATGTTGTAAATAACCTGTACTTTATTTTCTCCATTAAAAAGGACAGATATATTAATAAATTTAAGATTGGGCCATAGGTCTAAAGAACATTGCTAAATTTTCCCCTTCGTCCTCTTTCATTCTTTCACTCCTGAATACAGTTCATATTTTAGTTAACTAGCCAATATTCTTAAAAAGAGGTTTAATAACTTCTATCTAAACTTAATTGCTGTTAGGACTACATGGCAATATAAGCAAGCAGATGACTGTCATTATAACAGCAATAGACACTTAGTCACTGATCACAAAAACTTGTCAGGCTGCTAGAAATGGATAATAAGGAAAGAAAACCAGATTCAACTGAATTTCTCTAAATTTAACTCCCCTCAAAACAAAAGTATCGGATTGCAGCCAGTATGATAAAGTATGCTAATATGACACCAACCTGGTAATGAAATCTGTCAATAAAAAGGAAACTATCATGTAATCAGCTCATGGAAAGTAGAACTGTGTCAGGTCCATGCCAATATGTACTCTCCAGACCTCAACAACAGAGTGGTAAAACAGTCTACTTAATTCTAACTACAGTGTTTGGTAAGAATACCATGCATTTTCATGCAGAATATTTTTAATAAACTTGTCCTACAGAGTTTATATTTTTAACTTTGCTACTCCTCTTGGAGACATTTGGGGGTGTGATGTTATATATGCAGCAAAGATTGAAATTTGCATAAGATTTGCCTGAGTTAAACAACAAGGAGAGCTGTAGAATTATAAACATGCAAGACAATTTTTCCTGAGTACTGGTGGATTATCAGTACCCTGCATTATCCACGAAAAAATATATTCCATTAAAATTCTGTCTGGAGCCAAGGGTGGGGGAGGGGTGGGCAAAGAAAGCAGTATTTCAACATGTGGATGCCAGAACAACGAAGTTATACCTTCCTGCAGGAGTAAAGGTATTGGCAGCAGAGTGAGGAACAGAAGTGGGTATTTATACAGCAGTTATCCTTATAGGGTAATACATGGAATAAAAACAATAGAAAAGATATTATAAGCTCTCTGAATGAATGACTACTTTGCCCTGTCGACTGTATCACAGCCTCACACACTGGGAAGGACAATGTGATGAATTCCTGCAGTGTGGAGAGAACTTCAGCTGCCACCTGCTGCTACTGGCACTTACTAGACTTATCACAACTTCCTGCTTTATATTAGCGCGAACTAAAATTAATTCAGGACAGTTATTTTCCTTGCCAAGGTAAATACAAAAATGAACTTTCCAACCCACACTAGAGGAACACAAAGTTTATCACAAGTATGGTCCATATTTTCCCTCCATCCCAACACTGTTTATAGATCAAATGAGATTTCTTTCACAATGCAATAAAGCCTGAGTTTTTCTGGAAACACCCGGAGCACCACAACTTTTCCTGGGCTGCACATACACCCTCTATAGAAAGTTAAAACAAGAAGCTATTCCTTCTGAAAGGTCGTGCTTACAGTGTGGCTGCATCCCTTGTCATTTTTATATATGCTACCTCTGACCTTGAAAATACACATTCTGATATTCCTATTCCTACAGGTACACATGTATTTGCAAGGATTTTCCAACTGGCCAACAGAATACCATGTATTAAAATACGAAATGCTGACAGTGAGTGAAACTGGGAATTGACTATAAAGATAAGAATCAAATTACTCAGAAGTTAGATAAGATACAGTTATCAATTGGTAGAATGCACATAAACTCCATGTCTGAGCAACAAATCTCTTTTCTTGTACAACTTGAAATATCAATCACAAGGAAAAAAAAACAACAAACCAACCCTGTCTAGAACAGAATGCCTCTGTCCTGTGAGGAAGGAGTTCATCTCAGACCCCAGATGCATCTCTGGGCCAATGCTGGTTTATGTTTCAAATCACTGAATGACTGAGCCAAAAGGAATGGGAATGAGAGAAGAAACAAGAAACACTATAAAACTACTCTGCACTGTTCTCTTAGCTTGACTTAAAGACAAAGCCAGGATGTACTGTCTGCGGGTATCAGAGAAATGAACTATCATTAGTTCTGTCATCTGCACTCAAAAAAATTCATCAGATTTATTTTCCTGAAGTAGAAGTTCTGTCGTGATCTCAAGAGAACAAAAACAAATTATGGCATTCTTAGGTTATGAAATCTTCAGTGACAAAGATGCAGCCTCATGTTTACAAATGGTTTTATAGTAAGGATCTGTTACTTAATATTCAAGGAAATAATCTCACTATACAAATCATATGGCCAAGAGAAAATGCAAAACTTTAATCTCACATTAATAATAGCACTACAGTAGGTTCAGACAGAGACATCTAAGAATCTGTTTTACTTTTCACTATTTACATCGTTTTGTTATTGTTTCCCAGCTTGGGCAATAAATAGTTCAAGCTGCTGTATCAGCAGAATTCAATGACAGAAACCTCTGTACTTTTCCTGTAACACATTTCATCTGTTATCTCGGGCTACTTCACCTAGGTCAGTACTATTGTCTCTGTTTTAGTGATGAAAAAAATCAAGATTTAGAGGTTAAATAATGTTGTCAGGGCTAGACTGTGGTGCAGGTGGAAGTGCAGGCCAGATGTCTTACTTCCAGTGTCTCATCCATGTGATTGATTAACCTCATCTCATCTGTTGAGGTAGAGTCACATCTGAGTTGCCTAATTTTTAGGTCAGATTTCAATGATCACACCAGGATGTCTCCGTGATGATGGGAGAAAGAGGTGAAGCATAAAACAGAGGGAACTGCAGTTGTGGTCTCTCTGCAATGGAGGTGCAGGTGATAGAATGGATGGTTGGGCAGTTTGGCTCTGGGTACATTTTTCAGTGCATTTCAGAGCACTGCTTTGTTCCAGTTTTTGTGGTAAATAAATAAGCAGATAAAACCACTTGCCCGTCAAACAAAAAACTAAACGTTGTTATCTGATGTTCTTGGCCAGGCAATGAGAACTGGACAAACTCCCCATGGCTCAAGCTATAACAGGACGAATATCGCTCATACTCACCTTAATACTTCAGTTCTAGCTCGGTTCTCAGCTTGAGCCCATGGGCTGCAAGAGGTGACTAATGAAGATGGCTCCCTCTCAAAAAGGGAAATAAACTTTTTTTCCTCCTGTTAACAGTGGCACCTATTTTCAGTCACAAACTGTCCAGTCTTGCCACAGTGAGCCTGGTGGATCCAAGACTCGTTACTCACTAGTTCCACACTATCATTTTCATCCATGGGGGCTTCTTTTTTTTTTCTCTCTGTCCAAAGAGCAAGCTGGTGCACATTCTTATAAACCTTTAATTAACAATCTGAAAAGACATTTTTCTGGCAATGCCTGACCTTTAAGCACTTTGTATGAATTTATCGATACCAGCAGAAACAATAATTTAAAAGGTTATTTTATGAGTGCTGAATAGTTTATGGCAGCACTTTTGTCAAGATAAATGAGTTTCTTATTTCTACATTTACAGCACTAAGCATTTTAATAAAAAAGGTCCATAAAAGTCAAAGATAACTCCAAATCTCTCCTCTATCTAAGTCTACTTGGGCTTTTCTGGTGAACCCCTGAAACACCTACAATATGGAGGGAGCACTGAAATGTGCTGTGATGGGGGGAAAGAGCCAAGTTTCAGTTAGCCTCAGAATTGTTTTGATTTCACTGTATGCATTTAAGCCAGATTTACTATCTTTATACTGAGAATTTTTTTCACATAAAACCAAATTCATCAGGTGTATTACCTACTGTCTAACTCACTAAAGTCTACATCCAGCTGCACCTCTTATCCCAGGCAAGCATCTGGGAGCTCATGACCCCTTGCGAACGCCCACCTTAAGCATCAGCCCCAGCCCCGGCCGGGAACAGGACCAGGAACCTCCACCACTGCATCACCCACTGCAGGAGTTAATGAACGCACATGGCTGCAACACAGAGCACTTCGAACCCGCTGTCTTCAGTGACCTACACAGAGCAGCAGGCATCTGGCATGTCAGGGTCACCTTTTT